GGGCCCGCCGGCCCCGCCCCGCGCGTTCCTCCTCCCGGCTGGGCGGCGAGATTAACGGCGGAAACCGGACAGGCCAGATGGCATTTGGGGTCCGGCGGCCCCGCGAGGAGCTAGCAGCGGCAGCAGCTCCGCACACACAAAAGCCCAGGGCCGGGGCCTGAACCGGGGGAAGCCGACCCGGAGTAGAGCCAACGCTTCCTTACTCGCCACTCTAACGGGTCCTGCCCACTGAGCATGCCCAGCAGCCGCTGCCAGGCCAGCCGAGCAATCTCAACGTGCACGCTCCGCTCTCCGGGGTTTAGCGGCAGCAGAGGCTGGGAGGGGGAGGACGCGGGGAGTAAGACGCAGCCGCAAGGCAAGCCCCCTCCCCCAGCCAAGTTCCTTAAACGAAGAGCACCTAGGGCTCAGGGAGTAGATCTAGCGCTTAGGGCTTCTTCAAAGGTTGTCCAGCATGTTTTGCCCACCATCTACAGAAATCCCTTGAGGGATCGCACCCCTAAGGTGCCAACCCTATGGACGCAACTGTGTGGCCACGCCGGGAAGTTCATTTGTAGAAGCAAGCACATAGTAAAGCCTGTGTTGCAGCGCATGCTAGAATTTGCTTCATACCACCTAATCGTTGCTTTGACATTGTAAAAAATTTATCTTGATTCATATTTTAGTTGTTAGCTTTGTGTCTTATCTCCCTAAGTAACTCAAGTGTGATATAGCTAGACTCTTTTATTCTCATCCATGAAAATACTACAGGGCTGTACCTAGGTTATAAGAGTTATACCGACTGTAAAGAGCTTCACAAGACATACAACAAATAGTATTCCTATCCCTAACCTATTATAAATTTCAGTATTCCACGTAATTGTAAAAGAATCACGTCAAGTAGGGTTAACTTAGACCTCGGCAGAAGTGTAGGTTTGTCGTTGTTATGTACCATGGAGTCGGTTCAGGCTCATAGTGACCCTGCACAGGGTTTCTGAGGCTGTAAATCTTTACTGGAGCAGAAAAGATTTTTCTGCTTTCTCCTGCAAAACAGCTGATAGTTTCAAACTGCCGACCTCGAAGTTAGCAGCCCAATTCGTAACCACTACGCTACCAGAGCTCCTTAGAAGTGTAGGTGGTTGTTGTTGTTGTTAATTACTTTCGAGTCAGTTCCGACCCATAGCAACCCTGTATAGGTTTCCGAGGAGCAGCTGATGAGCTTGAACTGCTGACCTTGCAGTTCAAACAGCTTTGCAGTCTGGCGCATTAAACCACAGCTCCATACCAGGACTCCTAGAAGTGTAGATATACAATAGAAAATTTGGGAACCAGGAAGAGAGTAATAAAGTTGCATATCTTCAGTAATAAAGATTGTGGCTAAAACCTTAAAATTGTTACATCTAAGCAAGTTCAAACCCACCAGCCGCTCCCTAGAAACTATACAGGATGGCTGTGAGGGAACTCACTAGACCGCACTTAGCAACAACATAGCTTCCTTATAATAAACAGGGTCCAGGTAGAGTCCAAAGGAGACAACTGGTTACTCAAGTTTCACTAATGCTTGGGAAATACATATTGTATTTTTAAAAGTCTATACGAGAGGGCTTCAAAAGTTCATGGAAGATTGCCATACTTTTTTTATTTCATTTTTCCACAAACATTTTAAAGCGTGTGTGTGTGTGTGTGTGTGTGTAAAGTTGGTGAGGGAACTATTCCTGATATTGTTACCTCCATCTCCGTTTTTTTTTGTTTGTTTTACTTTAGGAAGCAAGGATTTCGTCTGAGCCCAGATCTAAAGCCTGGTCAATTTCTAGAACACTCTTTCACACCATTTCCTAAATTGTTGTCGTTATGTTCCTCCAGTCGGTTCTAACACTCAGGGTTTCTGAGCAACGGATGGTAAGTTTGAACTGCCAATCTTTCGGTTCAAACCAACTTTTCAGTCTAGTGTATTATCCTGCAGCACATCACTAGGACTCCATTCTAGTCTTTCTAAATTATTACCAGGTGAAAATCACACTGAACTTATTATGCTTTTACTCCATCTTTAACCCTTTCACTTTACCACCATCCTGGTCAAATATTAAAGTAATATGCAAAAGAAATGAATATGCCAGAAAGGAGGGCTGACTCTGAGTCCATGGGACTTTTTCTGGAGTTCCTAAATTTACTGATAATTGGTGAAATAGTAAACATTCTATCATTGCAAAGTTCAAAAAGAGGAAACTATCACAAGTGTTACATTTGTAGTTCATTATTGCTAATTTTGTTTCTATGACTAGAAAAAAAAAATGGACACAATAAGATCTTCATATTCCAGGCCCTGAAAATTAGAACATCTGATTTGAATTCTGGCTCTGTCACTTAAAAGCTGTATGACCTTAGGCATCTAGTAATCTTTTCAAGTCTGTTTTCTCATCTGTCAAATACCTGTTATGAAAATCATTTAGGAAGGTATGTGAAAATACTTTGTAAACTGCTCTTTATAAATGTCACCATTATCCTCTGCTCCTAGAAACGCTTGGTCTCATCCCAAACTAGAAATTTAACTTAAAATTATGCTTCCTGCCTATTAAAATGCTCAGTTGGACACTTCTTTCCACAAATAATTGTTCTTACTGGTCAATTTTAGCAAGGACCACAAAATCAATTCCAGTGAAAGGTTAAAGATTCCTCTATTATCTCTTTAGAAAACTCTCAATATACCCCACCAATACATGCCCTGTCCACCTTATTCTATCTATCTTATTCAAGGATAGACTCTTGAAAGAATTGAAACTATTTAGTTACCCTTCTCTAACACAAAATACTCACATATCCAAAAGCAGTTTGTTTGGCAATATTGAACAATGCTGTGTTATTTTAACAATTTCCACCAGTGTGATTTGGGTTTGACATTCCAAGGAGAAAATCTTCATTAGTAGACAGTCCTTATGAACCAGTTTCAAGAAATAAGAAGGCATGACCAATAACAGACCCCAACTTTAATGTACGTATTACGAATCGGGCTGCGAACCTTAAGGTCAGCGGTTCGAAACTACCAGCTGCTCCGCGGGAGAAAGATGAGGCTTTCTACTCCCGTAAAGATTTACACCCTCGGAAACCCTATACAGGGTCGCTGTGGGTCGGAACCGACTCGATGGCACATAACAACAACAACAACAACATCATCTGAAATAGCATGTAGGGTGAGTATTCACAGCAACAATCTGTATTAGCAATAGACTAGAAACCAACCAAACTGTCCATCAATGTAAGACTTAAAAGGGGTTTCAGAAAGTTCATGGGAAAATGGAATTAAAATATAACGGGACTTTTTTTTTTTTCACTTTTAATTATGAATTGAGTAAAGGTTTAGTGCTGCATCAGATTTACATTCAACAAACCATATACTTTGCTTCATTACAATGATTGCAGTCCCTTCCATGTACCATCATTTAACAGTATTTACCTCTATTCCCTTTAACTTTTTTTTTTTTTTAAGATTTTATTGTGAGTTTACATGGGAGAACATCAGCTTTATACTCATCCTATAGTATTTAGTTTCATTGCAATGATTACAATCCCCTCCATGCATCATCAAATAACCCCAAAAGGTACACCACACGGCACGCCCCCAGGCCGCCAAGCACCCAGTCCTTCTTCTCCCTCCTGAGTCCAGTGTCCCCAGTCACTCCATCTATCCACATCATTGTCTCTGTCTCCATCCCTGGCATCTCTGCCTCTCTGGGTACGGTCCCACTCTCC